TGGCGGAGAGTGCCGCGTGTGTACTATAGACAATAGACCCTTGCGTAAAGTTGATTAGATTCGTTGGTTGGCACGAAGGAAAGATGAGCTTCTGCGGAATAAGGATCAATAAATAAAGCAGCTCATAATAAAAGGAATGGATAGCACAATACCTTGACAATGAGCGGCGTATCTTGTGTCTTCGACTGCTGCTGAGCGCGCGATGAATTATGATGATACTTGAACTCTTCCCGAGAAATTCGTATGCACCAAACCAACTTCCAGCGATTAAATTGCGGTTTTAAGACAACTAAACTGTCGGACGTGGCCGTCCGGCGCGGCGGTCGAATTCACTCTCGGTATGTGTTAGGAAAAAGGGAGGTGAGAGAAGGAAGGTTTTGCCAACCAAACATTAACTAATACCCTCTAAACTAACGAAATATAAAACGCATGCGGTGGCGCAACCATTCTCCCAGGGCTTGAAGGGTTCCCTTCAAAACTAACTAAAGCTACTACTAAACCTCATCTAAACTACTAATCTAACCTAGAAAGCAAATCGAAACTATTGGTTAGGTAAGGGGCAGAGACGTACAACCGGACGCAAATATGACCCGGTCGCTGTTTTAACACGAGCTATCCTTGTTCCTCCATCGGAGCCAGGAAAAACCTCTTCAATGATCCCTAATGGCCAATGAAGAGGCGGCGCGTTTTCTTTAATGAGAATAATTACAGTTCCGACAGTTATTGGGTCAGCTGGTGCATACCATTTTTGCCGCGACTGTAATGTATGCAGATATTCCGCCCTCCAACGCTTCCAAAATGACTGTACAAGCTTGTCCAATAAAGTATGACCTGAAAGAACATGAAGTTTATCATCGTCTACATTTAAAGCGGATAAGTACTTCAAAGACGTTAGGTTTAAAAAATGTGCTGGAGTCAAAGCTAGTGGCTCTGATGGGTCACTAGAAAGCACGCGACATAGAGGGCAGCTATTCATAATGTGCAGTGTGTGCAGTGCTCAATTCTTCAAAAGACATAATTTGATCTCCGATCACGCGATATAAATGTATTATTAGCATCACCTACTGGGGAATAGCTAAAATGTTGTCTTCATAAAATAAATGCTTAGCGTTATTTTGCTATTTCTAGCTAGAGGGCGCCACACGCGCTCAAAGTTTTTGTATATAAATGTTCCGAATGCCCGCTCTTTAGTATATATATATTAAATCCCTTTGATATCATTGTAAAATTATATCTTTAAATCATATATATCATAACAAGCATGTTTTCTACTAGGGTGCTAATCTCAGTCTTATCGTAAGCAACAAGGTTGAGAATTCGTAAGCTTCCACTAATGAAAATGAAAAATTCAATCTTCGGTAAGACCAGGGGCGGATTAACCATGTCGGGGCCCTTAGGCAATGCAATTCTCGGGGCCTCTTTGCAGACAGCATGAAGGGATGTGAGTAATAGCATCAGCTGCGTCAGCGGACTGATGCTTAACTCCTCAGGAACTTAAAGTAAAATATTTGTATTTGGGCTCATTGAAATTGTCTTAATGAATAGGTTATAGATAAGTGATAATACACGTCTGATACATTATAGACAATGAATTTAAACGGTTCTGAGACATTAGCCGGGTACCCACCTAGCGCACAGGCTCGGGCGGCAGCCCTGCGAGCCAATGCCTCAGCTGATGTGGACGTGCGTCGGGCGCACGTTGCCTCGGCCGAGCGCCGCACGACCGCGAGCCATACGTTGTCGGTAAACTTGACGCACTCAAAGGTGCCTCAATGTTCGCTGTTCGTCTGGTGTGTACGGTGGTATTTAGGCTCGCGAGGCGAGATATCTGTTTTAGTTTTACTGAAGTCATTTTAATTATATAATATCATGAGCAATCACGATGAGTCGATTCGTTTAATTCAACAGTACGGTACGTACAAGATGCTGTGGGATGCAAAATACTGTTTTCGTTTTTTTTTTAAATAATAAGCAGCTAGGAAAGTAGCTGCAGCTGCAGTTACACAACTGTAAATTTCGGATGTTTGAGGAATTGTGATGGCTCGGCCTGCCTCGCGAGGCATGCCTCTCAGTTCCGGACAATAATATTGAGGCCCGTATTCACAAACGATACATACATAAGTATGGTAGCAACACTATGCTAAGTAAGGTATTTCTCACTGCGTTCGTCATGGCAGGCCGTTCATTTCATGAACAATACTTAGTGGACTCTTTGTTGTGCGGACACATAGCAGTGAATGGGGCGCCGTGATTGGTTAACGTTGTGACGCGACTTCGCTCGAGTTGAATGACAGATAAAAAATAATAACACGTGTTGCTTTTTTTCAGGTAAAAGACGTTACTGGTACCGTTATTATAGGGTACTTATGCATAAGTATTATTAAAATAATGTGGATTTGAAACTGTTGATAGGTAGACTTGATAGGTAGAGAACTGAATTGTTATTACAAATCTGGAAATTCTCAGATGAATAAAATCTTAAGGCCACTAGTAACTTTCAAAAGATCTGCATTTATTAGAGGCAGAAGTATAATTTTAACGATATTTTTTGAAAACCTAAGTGACTTTAAAATTCATTGGCACTGTAGTAAACAAAAGGATTTTGAAAGTCACGTATCACTTTTCTTGTGCTAATCGTTCTTTGCACGTTTATTCTTTCCAGGATATAATTATCAAAATCATCTTCGCTGCTGTAATCCATTGCAATTATTCAAACAAAACCAATCAGCGTATCACAAAACAACAAACAAGCTATATACCCCATACCAGTTTGACATTTGCGTTGATTTGTCGCACTATGCGTAGCGTAAAGTAGCTAGCGAGCTACTTTATCTGTGCGTTCATTTTGATGAGCGCATAGTGTCGTCTAACACTCAAGTGACGTTTATGAAACAAAATTTCGTCTACTGTGCGTTAAAGCCTACTATGCGCACGCATAGTATCGTTCTTGAATACGGGTGTGAGGCTACCTCGCGAGCCGCACACCAAGGCTGCGGCGCGAGCCTGTGCGCTAGGTAGTGTGGGTGGGACGAATGATGACAGTTTTTTATTAGTTTTAATTTTGAAAAGTTACGTTCATCCATTGCGTTTGATATCTCATCAGACTTCTGTATATTTGCAATGCTATCATTACATTTGGGAAAGTTGATTGTACCATATTGTCAAAAATTTATTTAAACGATTCCTCAGCAGGTACAATTTTATCTTTTCCCGCAATCCCCGCATCCTCTAATTGTAAGATGAAGTACTTGAACTGTACCATCTCGTTTATAAACTCGGGCTAAATGTCCTCGGAATAATATTTGCTAAATTTTGTACAAGCCTCTTTACTTTAATCGTTGGTTTTTTTTCATGAAATCTGTTAGAAATCCAAACAGAGAATTGATTTCCCGGTAAGCTTATAGTCGCCGCAACAGTTCTACAGAGCACAGTAAAACTTTTTAAACAAAATTCACGGTCACTCACAAATTGCATATAATGCATCATGTAATGCATCCAACGTTTCGGGCATAGAGGAAAGTAATGGATATATATATATCGGGTTTCAGGGATTCTCCCAATTCGAATAAAGTCTAGTACTCACTCAGTCGACTGCTCACCAGCAGCGTTCCGAATTAATGCTTATACTTTAAGTATAAAATATCTAGCACTGTTATATCCAAATTCATAAGTTTTAAAATACAGGGGAGAGTAAAACTTTGTAACATATCGCATCCATATTATTAGTTTTACTACTCGATACTAGATGGCAATAACCCCTGGGAATAAGGTAGTTGCTACTAAGTTATTTCAAATATAACTTGTATAATAAGACATGATTGTAAACAATTATTTTTTAAACGTCCCGCTAGGTTTCTTGCTAATTCTTCCCTGGTCACAGGTATTTTCCGAAACTTTTTTCGATTTTTTTTAAATACTAGTAATGCTATTAAACATTACTAATATTCCCTTTAACCACTTCTGGTAAGCTTAAAATGCTTGTGTTACAAGTGGTTCACGACAGCAATCGAATGGCGGGTTCGAACCCACGACCTTTCGAGTTCGCGGTCCGCGCCCTGCCATTGGGCTACTGACGCTTTGATTCTGTTCTGAAAGTATGAAATAATGCGTCGCTAAAACCCAGTAATACCTATTGTTATTGTGGATACAGTTTTACAATTGAATTTTCACTGCATGATACATTTTCCATTACTTTCGTGCGCGCGCGGGGCCCCTAGGCAGTTGCCTACTCTCTCTAATGGTTAATCCGGGCCTAGGTAAGACTATGGAGAATATTGAAAAAAGGGTTAACGTAAAATTAATTACACACTGGAAGAACCTGGGTATAGTTTTAGGTGCTCAAGATCTAATCGCTAAACCATAATTTCATAGTCTTTTAATATTTTCGGAAGACCTAGTTGCGGTTCAGTTGCGAAAAACTAAGTTAATATATAACAAACCTAAACATTTATTTAGTGTTTTGTATTTTTGATATTTTCAAAACATTACTGTATGATATTCATTATATGATTAAAAAGTTTAGTCAAATCAAATTATTGTATACAGATACGGATAGTTTAATATATCATATATTATGTATTTACAGATGATTTTTACACTGATATAAAACCTGACCTTTTCTCATACTTTGATACCTCAGATTATGATACTATTAATATATTTAAATATCCAAAATTAAATAAAAAGAAATTAGGTTTTTCATGGGTCGACCGATCCTAAAAAAAATCTACGGTCCGTTTTTGCGTAGGATGCGCGGTTCCAGAGATGTGCAAATCAATTAACTAATATCTAATTGATATCCGGTGGACCTGCGCCCTCATTAGCGTTTCAGCCTTTGTTGTTCAGCCTTTCCTCTTATCTATTGTTCCTTGAACACCGTTATTGCCGCTCTTATCTATTACTCGTTGTACACCCTGCTTATCACTGCTATTGTATTATACTTTGTTCATAACTACCACACTATTTTGAATCATCAATAAAACACATTTCTTAATTTTGTTACAATTTTTATTGCTTATTATTTATAAAATAGGAGCGAAACATCTCATCCACTAAAATATCGTTGTACAGTGTGCTCCCTGTAAATATGCTCGTAAAACTATGCATTGAACATCCCTGAAACTTATATAGCAAATACATTGAGCAATATTCACCACAAGCTGAAGTTCTGGTCTAAGTCCACTCATTCTGATCCTATCAACATTCCAGTTCCATCTTTTACAATTCTTTTATAAAAACTCTAGATGATATCGTGCAGGTGATCGTCCATATGAATCAAAATATTGACCGATGCCAATCGTATCGATGTATAAAGCTATCCAATGTGAGCGTGGTTTATCAATGAGGTTTTATTAATGAGGACTGAGGATGGTGAGTTGTACAGTTCTGACTCAGTGAGCCAGAACTGGTATAAACTAACTACTCAGACCTCCTTCACGATGAGTCGCTTATGAAGATGCAGACTCTCCGTACACAGCATACATTCACTTTTTAATCTGCTGCGGCGTCGCACCTTCCTTTGTAAAGATTTCTTGATATGGTTTTGTTTTATTTCATAATAATAAATGATGATTTCCAGATACAAAAACTTATTACTCTGAAACAAACGCAAATAATTTAGATCAAGACCTGTAAACGCCTAAAATGTAGGTTCGAATTATATTTGCTAGAATCAAGTTATCTAATAATTGAGGTAGTTTATTATTTGTTTTTAGATAATACGAGGGCGGCACTGAAAATTTCGGGAATCAAGGAAGTGACACAACATTACTATTTAAAAATGTATTTATTGCTTTTCGAAGTATTCTCCGCGAAATTTGACACATTTTTCCATACGATGGAACCAATCATTGAAGCAACCATTCCATTCGGAAGTTGGGGTCTCCAAAATGGCCGTTTTGTAGGCGTCCACAACTTCTTCAGGTGATGAAAATCTCTGTCCACGCAATTTATTCTTTATTTTAGGGAAAGTATAGAAATCATTAGGGCTTAGGTCGGGGCTGTACGGCGGATGGTCTAATAATTATATGTTTTCTTGCTCTAAAAACTCTTTTGTTCTGTGTGCGGTGTGAGAACTCGCATTGTCGTGATGGAGGATGATGCGGCGGTTGCAGTTTTCTTTACGGAGTTCAGAAACGGCCTGTGGCAAACAAATGCTAGCATACCATTCTGCATTAACCGTTCTTTGTCCCTCAAGAGGAATAGTCGTAACATGGCCGGTTTTGGAGACAAACGTGGCCACCATTTTTTTTGCAACACTCCGTGAACGAACAATTTTTGTTGGCTTTAACTCATTTTCGAACACCCAAACTCATCACTGGTTTTTTGTTTCGGGTTCGTACGCGTATATCCAGGATTCGTCAACTGATACGATGTTGTATACAGCATTTGAGGATCCTGCGTGGAATCTTTCGAGAGTTCTGACGCACCAAGTAACGCGAGCCGCTTTTTGGTCTTCACAGAGCGAATACGGTATCCATCGGGAAAAGAACTTTTCTACACCTAATTGTGCATGCAAGATTATTTGTATTGGACTCATGCCAATGTCTAAAGTTACCTGAATTTCGAGGTATGTCACATGTCGATTTTCCTCAATCAGCTTACGCACAGCATCAACGTTTTCTTGGGTGACTGCAGTTATTGGACGACCTTGACGGGGATCATCACTGAGCTTGACACGTCCACGTTGAAATTCAGCAAACCAGCGATAAATTGTGGTTTTGGATGGGGCTTCATCACCAAATACAGAAATCATCCGGTCAACACACTGTTTTTGTGTTAAACCACTTCGAAAGTCATAATAAATCATTGCTCTTGAATTTTCTCGAGTCAATTCCATTTTCTCAACGACTAAACAAGTTTGACAAAACCTTGTGACAATACCGAGAATCTTTTTTTAAATAAATAAATGGTATACGATTTTCAAAACCAAGGGGTTTTCAATTAAAAAGATTTTAATATGACAGGAACAGTGGAAATATTCCATTCCCGATACTTTTAGTGCAGCCCACGTATACTTTGAACATTTGATACTTTAATACTTATTTATATTTAAAAACTTCGAAAAGTATCAACAAATGTTCTTTTTTACCTGTGATGTGATTTGTATAATAAAAATGGACTATATTTTATAATATTTTATTTTGAATTGTAATATACCAACACCACCTGCACAGGGTGCACCCTGCAATTCAACAAACGTGGCTCTGGCGACCGATAAGGTGGTATAACTATTCGATAGCGTTTATCCCACTTCCCGTCGACTAACAGGGAAGCAGCATAACTCTAACGATTGCGAGCAGAAATTCTCATTACCCTGCATTGAAAATATTACTTGACCGTCGATCAAGTAATATTTTGAAATATAAATTGTATTGAAACATTTTTTAAAACATCGCTGCAAAATATAGTGCATTATTTTTTTTCCAAACGGTTTATTAGTACGGTATATTTTTTCTTACTATTTCACAATTTTTTTTTATTATATACAATATTAAAAACTATAATAATAATTAAAAAAAAAAAACTAAAAGTAGAAACTTAATTATCATACAGGGTATTTTTGGAACGCTCCCGAAAACTAAGACAGGCGACAGCACCACGTATACCTTTGATCATGGGTTACAAATAAAGTCGATCCTGATGAAAAAAAAATCATCTTTTAACAACGTTTTATTAGCTTTACTCACGCGCCATCATGTTAGTACAGCTAAATGAAACGATAATTTCATAAAAAATATCATGAAAATACTGAAACATAAAACCAGCAGTGGAAACTGAATTGATATCACCTGACTAATGGAGGTTAATGTACGCGCGAACGGTGAAAAACAAACGCTGGCCTTGAACTTGGGCACTGAGCGATTTATCACATATTGGTACGAAAGGCGCGCGACGGGGGAACAATCCGCCAGTATTAGTGTGCCTGCATGCTATTGGTTCCCGCGCTTTGTTCGCTCCAAAAATACAGTCGCATACACAGCTTACTTTGCGACTCGCGACGATGTTTTAAAAAGGAAGGAAAGAAAAATTATTTATATCTATTGTTATATGACTAAACTAGTGATCGAAAAGGTAAATATTGTTACGAGCTTGGGGTTCGAGACAATTAAAAACTGCCGATTGAATTACCAAAATTGACACTTTAATTACACAACACTAATTACAATCTAAAATCACACTAATAATAAAACACAGTTCGCCGTTATTTCGCTTCGAAGTATTCTCTTGTATCGCCAATTCAATACTGCCCCGGTCGTGGTCTATACCGGTCTTATATAGGGCCTCAGATAGTTTCCAGAACCTTCTACTGTAGCGACATCTAGAATGTTCGAGTACATATCGGTCCCGAAATTTCTGGAAGGATCTCGACTCTCCTAGTTCTGCTACTCGACACTAGAGGGCGCTAGTGTAACTAGTGTTGCCATGTACAAGACATTAATAGTGGCGCGCAATACTTTCATTTACTCGACACTAGGGGGCGCTAGTGTAACTAGTGTTGCCATGTACAAGACATTAATAGTGGCGCGTAACAATATGATAGGAGAAGGTGAATGGGGAAAATTGTGCAGTAAAGTTAAAAGTGTGGAGGAAGAATACCGAAAAAATTACCATGTGATCGACCTGATGACGGAAGCTCAAGCGAAGATGAAAGTGATGATCAAGTAGCATCCAGTAACACCAACACACCATTAACATCTGGCTTCCATGTGACCCAAGACGTCATAATGGACGGCGTGTTACCCTTATCTAAAGTTTTCTTGTTACAAACTACTTTATATTTTACGATAGAAATAACAAATAATGCTCATGTAAACATTATCCATTTTTAATTCCCACCTCTTCCAAAGTTCTAAGTAGCTAGTAAAACACCTATTATGATTCTAAATTAAAACAATTAATTACTATAATATTATAAAACAATAGCCCAATACCATGTAGTACTTTAGAACGCGATTGTACCCACACCCCCTCCGCTATCGACCTGTATCTAGCTCGGTACGAAACACGCGGTCGTAAGAAAAAAGGGCGCATCTAACAATTTATGAATAAATGAGTTAAATATACCATTCGATTCATGATAAGAAGGCGCATCTACTAAATTTTTTTAATATTCACAAATATCAATATTTTAGAAATTATCGTAAGAATTTTAGACGTAACTGTTGATCACAGATGACTTTTTTTAGTAGAAAAGACTTATACAAATTCAACATAAAAGAAAAGACTTATTTAACCAGTTGCTACGTCATCTTTAACAATATTTGCATCGATTACTTAAATTTCAATTATTCTTGGTCTTGTCTTATTATTCTATATCTTATTATTAAGAGCTTATATCTTATTGTTAAGAGCTGGTGTTTCACATGTGGTCCCATATAAATTTGATCGAGGTCAGACCAATAGTTTTTGAGTTATCCTTAATTATTTATATTAAAGTCGGTTGTACAAAATTTTTAATTTTTAATTATTATCGTAGTAAGTCTTGTATGATATCCCCTTTAAAATCATTACTTTTTAAAATTATTATTTTTTGTGTCTCACTACCAATGCTTTTCTAATATTTATTAAAAAAAAAAAGTAGTAAATTACTATTAGCGTCCTTTCAACTTCAAATGACCTTTCCAAAATATGTAAAATTGTTAAATGAATGGCAGTTTTTTTTTTAATTTATTAGGTTGGAAAGACGCAAATAGTTATATGCGTCTTTCCTTCGATGTTTTTGTGTTGCCAGGTGTATTTTTTAAGCTAAGATGAAAAGGAAAATTCGTTTTATTTAAATAAATAAACAAATTATCAAAAAATTTGTTCGTCCTTAAAATCTTCATGTCTCTACGTATTTTCATATAGATACCTTTTAATATAGGTACTTTAGACACAGGGTCTGAAAGAAAAATTCATCAATTTATTTTTTATTTCCATTTTACGTTTTTGTTAGTTGCGTCCTTCTTTATGTAACCCGACGACGGCAGAATGTAACCCGGCCGGCTCGTGTCGCCTCACGCTGTGACGCAGTAGACAAAGCAAGGAGTAAAGTATTCTGTGAGACAAAGAGTATAATAACTGTCCTAGCAGTAGGTTTCAGTTTTGTTGGGGTTCGTTATTAATTGTAGTTTTTGAAACAGTTCCGTGTTGATTTTGTACACGCGTGCGTGAGCGACAGCTCAATCGTATTGTTATTACTTGTGATTACGTGTTGGTATTATTCCTGTTGTTACGTTTTTTGTTTTAATAATGCTTAACGCGTACTTTTATAGTGATTGTGAATACAGCAACATGTTATCCGAACCCAGGTACACGAAGTATCGCCAAATAAATTGTTAAGACGTCGGGATGCGTTTGTGCAGTGCACAAAGTGTTGAAGCGTAACCGAATGCGCCCATACAAATTTGCTAAAGTGCAAGCTTTAGTTCCCGGCGATCACGTCCGCCGACGAGTTTTCTGCCGTTGGTTATTATACCAGCGACAACGTGTGCCTGGTTCCATTGAGCACATTATCTGGACGGATGAGTCGACATTTACCAGAAACGGCCTGTGGAACCGAAGAAATACACACGTGTATTCAGAGGTTAACCCGCACGCTGTTCGACAAACCGGGCACCAAACCCGATGGTCGGTTAACGTATGGGCAGGTTTATTTAAGGATCGCATACTGGGACCAGTGTTTCTACCACAGCGACTGAACAGACAGCGATACCATGTCGTGAGGTTCGTCCGTGAGCGCCTCAATGAGCTATTTGATGATCGCTGGATCGGCAGACTAGGACCACACGCTTGGCCACCTCGCTCACCAGATCTGACCCCGTTAGACTTCTTTTTAGTATGTGAAAGAAAGGGTTTTTAATCGTGAGTGTGATAGTGCTGACAAAATGCGCCAAAGGATCGTGGATGCTTTCGAGAAACTATGTACGGACTGTGTCGAAGACCACACGATGATGCCCCGCCTGCACCCAAATCTACCTTGAAATAAATGGAGCACAATTTGAGCTGCATCTCATAAGACCACGGAGGATTTAGAGCGGTAAGCTGTTTCATAACTATTTTTTTTAAATAACTTAGTACTGAACTAATCTGAATAGGTACATAACTGAATACATGAGAATAATAAACATACCTACACGATGAATAAAAACGCATGACTCCAGCCTTGGTTACATTTCATTTAAGTATTTTTTCATTAGCGTATGTAGTGGTATGGCCCGCTAGTTGCGGGCCGCGCGAATTTGCGTTCGCGAGTACATTGACCTTTAGTCAGGTGATACAATTCAGTCATTCCACTGCTGGTTTTATGTTTCAGTATTTTCATGATATTTTTTATGAAATTATCGTTTCATTTAGCTGTACTAACATGATGGCGCGTGAATAAAGCTAATAAAACGTTGTTAAATGATGATTTTTTTTTCATCAGGATCGAATTTATTTGTGACCCATGATCAAAGGTATACTTGGTGCTGTCGCCTGTCTTAGTTTTCGGGAGCGTTCCAAAAATACCCTGTATAGTCCTACTTCCCGCGGTATCATGCCAAGAACGCTGGCTGCGTTTCCCCGCTGAATGGCTATATCAGCGGGGAAACGCAGCCAGCGTTCTATAAGTCTATACTTAGCCTTTGAGCGAGAAAAGAACCAGCCCTCTTATCAGCAGCAGCAACGACCAGCCGCGGATGGAGTTCCTTTAGGAACTTCACCGCACGTGGACCCCACGGACCGATAGTCTCTACAGCAAATGGCACAAATATGTAGTCATCTCTCAGAGACTCATATTTGCGCCACTTAGTTCAGCTGCCTCCGATGCCGCCCCGGCTCTAAACGAGGTACCCCTGAGATGAGAGGCCGCCAGAGTATACGCAAGTAGCATTCCACACTAGGGTTTTACCTCTCTCACAAATAAACCACTTCTTTAGATGGATATTTTTATTCCCAAACTGTAAGCTTTTATATGGCCCTGGACAAACCAGGGCTTCTAAACACTTACATTTTATTGCTAACTGCATTTTAAGAACAACGGATCCAACTACGTAAGTTATGATTTGTTGTAAAATTAATTTAAGATGGTAGGAACCATTACATAATCGTAATCACTTAGTACGAGGGGCGTTCAATGTATTTTCGGTATGGGTATGTTAGAAAAAGGATAAAATTATGAAATATTTTAAATTTTTCACTACAGTCTCCTATGAAATCAATACATTTACTTGTTCGTGAAAACATCTTTTCTATTCTCTTGAAAAATATATTTCTTCTTGTGAGTTTTGTGATTTCGAAATTACAATATTGTGTGTATGGTACCAACGGATAGGTTAATAATTTCTGCTAACATCTTAATTCTTACTCGTGCATCTTCTAATACAAGTTTTTAAATAATTTTCACATTTTATTCTGTAGCCACTATGATTGGCCCACTTTAGCGGGGCGGGGGCATCTTCGATGCTTTTCCTGCCTCTTTTGAATTCACTTGACCACTTCGGTACGGTTGACATTGCAGGAGCAGACTTGGTAAACGGCCACACCTTGTTTAGTGAGGAATTTAATCACCGCACGGTGTTCGATTTTTTTCAACATTGACGAGTCAGTCATTCCCGTCGTCTATGACTGAAGATTACATAAGAAGTAATGAAATTATCAAGATTTTTCATATTTAAGCATACACTCAGGTAGTGTCGTTAACTAATGACTTTGTGACGTCTTCAGACTCACTACACGTAATACGGATAGTGGTGACATTTAATGCTATTTCAGTTCGTGGAGAAGTCATAATATTTAAATATCATTTAAAGCAAAACAGTTACCTGTTGTGATGTGTTTTAAAACTTCATGTACAAGAATTCTTTTATAGGCTGCTTTAATCTGACGCGCAGTGGGGCTGTTAATATTACCGCCATTTGTGCAGATATCACTGAAAAACATTCCATGTGGACTTAACATAGTTTGTAGGTACAAAGAAACATTTTTGGTTGAACATAATTTTTATAGAGAGAAAATAATATTTTGATACATATTGGAAAACCAAGAAACCAGTCTGTCTGTCTTTATACTTCAAATTTTTTTATGTAATCATAGCTATGATTACTGCTAAGAAATTTCATACATTATCAATATTATTTACTGATTTCGATTGTGTGTACTCAAACTCTTTTAAATTTCGAGGATCCATCAGATATAAATATAAATAAATAAATTTAACTATTTCACCCCAATCTGAAAGTTCATATAAAAAGTTCTATCCTCAAACCAGCAAATAAAGATAGATGGAGCACTGCATACAATTTCTCAATGCTCAATTTCTTGACCCGCACTCAAGTAACACATCTTTCTTAAAGGGCATCTGCGGCTCTTTGGCATTCCCGGTTCCAAGCCCAGATGAGAAAAGAAGAGGGTTGGCTGTGAACGACGAAACTCACTTGTACAACATCTAAGCCAACCGTAAAAAATCGTCAACGCCAAGCCATGGGCGGCGGTCAAATAATCCATCAAACTGGTCATCGGCGACCATGAGTGACTAAATATCCTCAAAAAGACAGAGGGCAGGTGCATGGGAAACACATACTTTCCTTTAATGAAATTATGGAAAATAAGAAATACGATATGTCATGCGATCCGGCTAACCCCCGGCGCCATGATGTACCTGGGTCTCGTGGTGTGAAATCTGCTACAGAATACTCTGTAGGAGTGGGTAACCAGGCCCCTGCACCAGTGAATACTACTGGAAAACAATTTGTTCAGCAGGCATTCCATCCTAGTCTGTTTACAAGAACTAGAAGCTCGTCACTGGGAAGTATTTCCCCGGTAGAAACAGTCAATACCATGGCACTGGACTAAAGTGCTGTCGCGTCAGCACCCATACCACCAGACTGGCAAAGAGTCCCTATAAGCAGCAATCACAAGCGAAAAAGGCAAAAACTTCAGTCCCAGCCCCCTTCACCGGAAAAAAATTACAACAAACAATAGGTTTAGCGAATTACCTATTGAACCCAAAAAATGTGCGAAAAAGACAACAGAAAAACGGCTTAGTAACTACCACCGATAATATTATACGACATTGAAGACGTTAATAAACTTGTAGAATTGCTACAGACCACAGCAGACAAGAACAGCTTTACAATAAAAATTGTCAACAGAAATCAACTAAGAATAACCTGTGTTATTCTTAGTTGATTTCTGTTGACAATAGCACACAGCAATATACAAAAATGATATTACTATAGTCTGAAACAAAGGACTCATAGGACATACCTTTAACTTGAAAAACCAACGCTGCTACAGAGAAGTCATAAAAAACCTACACCATACAAAAATAGTGCAATCATAGAAGAAATTGAAAACACTGGAAACAAAGTCTATGGTGAAATAATAAACTCAAAATTTGAACCAGATAAAACACCAACCTCCATATTCGGTTTAAAAATCTTTATTTACTCATTAAGACAAATACATGTCACTTACATGAGTACATTATACAATTTTAAATAAGTCACACAGAACAAAATAATAACAAAAAAAAAAGTGAACATAAATAAGGGTAGATTAAAATTATATAAATATAAGTAGCAAGTTAGCTGCGTAGAAGCAATGTTTTAAGTACTGACTATATAAGGCGGTGGTCCAAGTTATAAAATGTCTTGGTTTTTAATGTCTAATAGTTTTTTTTTTTTGAATATATTGAGCGAACTTGCATCTTTTATATTTGAAGGGAGTTTATTATACATCTGTGCTCCTGCAAATGTTACGGCATTTCTTCCAAATTCGAGAGCGTGATCCTACCCCGGTGACTCTACCCTTACAAATTTTTTGAAAATTTAGGTACAAAATTCTAGGAGGAAGATTTTCTACATGATCTTTGTGTCTAGGAGGCCGTCTCGTTTGCCATGCTTTCTACCGTCAAGAGCTAGTGTAGCTAATCACAGTCTATGAAGCACTTGAATCAGTTTTAGTAGCCTGCATTGTCAACGTTAATTGTTTGAGGTATCCACGAGCTGCAGTGGCTACTGATATGAAATGAAATATATTATTTTACTAAATACGAATATTTGGTAATATAAGATGATTTGCGCGGCGTGATGAGTATTTTAGTGTTTTTCCTTTTGTGGTGAACGTTATATTTGAATGGATCATATTACGCGTGATTTTATATATTAATATACAAGTGTTAAAGATGTATAATTGTTTAATGTTTAAGAATTTTGTTTCATGGTATATTTTTTTAGTCGATGTTAAAAAATCGTAATGATATAAAATTTAGCTTTTGGAGATAAGTTTTGCCTGCTGTACCCCATATCTCTATTAAGTAAAGTAAGTGTGGTTTTACCAACGCGTTATAGATCATAGGGCGAGCTTTTGCTGGTATACATCGAGCCATACCGTATATAGAACCTATTAGAGATGAAAGCTTATTTTTTATAACTGATAAATGACCATTCCATGACAGATGTTTATCAAGAAATAGTCCAAGGTATTTTTCTTGATTAGATTGGCGTAGCATTTCTCCATTTATGTGTAATTTTGTGTGGTGTTGGATTTTTTTGTTTTTTGCACTAAATACTACGTAAGATGTTTTGTCGGTATTTATTGTTAATAGGTTGTACTGAAACCATCTGTGTAGTGTGTCAAGATCTTGTTGAGCAAGCAAAGTAAGGTCATCTATATTTTGTCCAAAGTAGAACAAACATGTGTCGTCTGCATACAAAGTGAGATGGCAGTGTAACCCTACTTCACAAATATTGTTGACATACACTAAGAACAATAGCGGACCAAGAATTGAACCTTGTGGTACTCCACAGTTTATAGGTAGGGGACTGCTTTGATAATTTCCAATCCTTACAACCTGGTATCTATTTTCAAGGTAAGATTTTAACATCTTGAGTGCCGTGTCTGTCACACCAATACTTTCTAACTTTTTTAGTAGCAACGAGTGACTCACTGTGTCAAAGGCCTTTTTTAAGTCAATGAACACACCCAGTGCTAGCTGTTTTTGGTCTATTTTAGTTTTTATTTTAGTAGTTAAGTCAATAGCTGCACTGAGAGTACTCGATTTTGAACGGAAGCCATATTGTTGATCACACAAAAAATTTATTTCAGTCAAGTGGTCATTCAGTCGTTTGTAAATTACTCTCTCCAGGATTTTTGAAAGCACTGGCAAAACTGAGACAGGCCGATAGTTTCCTGGATCCGTTTTTATACCAGATTTATAGATCGGATTGACCTTAGCTACTTTAAGACTATCTGGGAATATACCTTGTACCAGTAATTTATTAAGACAGCCAGTGAGATTAGAAATAATTAGATTTTTTACACACTTTATTGATTTTGTACTAATGGAGTCAATTCCTGTGCTAGTGTTAGTTTCCAGACCATCGACAATATTAGCTATCTCATTTTTATCACATTGTTTGAAGACTGACAATTTGAATTGGATTGTATCAGATTTTAGTTTTGGCAATGTGTGTGTTTCGTTGTTATGATAATGGGATGGTATTTTGTTTGCAAGTTGCGTACCAATATTTGAGAAAAACTTATTGAATAACTCACAAACAGCTACAGGATCTTTAATGACAAGGCCGTTATCCGTTTTAAGATTTGGGGGAGCACAGCTTACAATAGGTTTATTCTTAGAAAGTGTATTTATAAGTTTCCACATCTTTTTAGGTTTACTTATACATTTTTCAAACTCTCTGTAATAATATCTGCTCTTTGAAGTCTTGATAAGTCTCGCCACTTTTGTCTTTTCATCAATATATTCTGATTTTAGTTCGTTATTCTCTGGGTCTTGCTTTAGTTTACATGACAATTGATTTCTTTTTTTAATCCCCATTATGATTTTTTTATTAATCCATTCTTTTTGAGGTAGATTGACAATTTTACATTTTATTTCTTTACTTTCTGATATTTTTTTCATTATAAATTCTTCTAGAGTGCCAAAATTACAGTCATTATTTTGGAGCTTATGATCTCTAGTTCGCTTATATAAAATTTCATAGTTAACAGCTCCATATCGTACCTTTTGCGTTTGTGGTGGTTTCACTTTTTTCATTTCAACGTAAATATTTTTATGATCTGAAAATGAAGATTCAATGATAGCCATATGAAATTTTTGGTTGTTGAGATTTGTAGCAACATGATCTATAATAGTTGTCGACGTTGGTGACACACGAGTGCTGTGTAGTACTTCAATTTTGTTAATTAATTTGAAACCAGTTTCCTTCAGTAAATCATTATACAACGTGGTCTTAGTATCAGATACCAAAAGATCTATATTTGTATCGCCAAAGACAATCGCTCTTTTTTTTTTGCTGCAGTTGCAGTTGATATGTGTTGAGAAAATTGTTAAGATTCGTGTGACCTGGTTTGTACACAATTCCTACATCAAGTGCATATTTTTCAAGATGTATCCACAAGTAGTTGTTTCCGCCAATGTAAGATTCCATACTTAGGTCATGCTTTAGATTATTATGCACAAAGATGGATACTCCGCCTCCGATGACATCCGATCGAATGTTATTTGAAATCGTGCCACTTGGTCATCTGATCTTATCCAGGTCTCAGTCAGTAATATTATATGTATGGTTTTATTAAAAGCTTCGATAATGCACATGAGTTCATCAAATTTACCTGGTTTACAAATACTTCTGGCATTAGCATAAAAGAAATTAAGGTTAGATTTATTAGAGGTGACGTTTTGATAACAATCAACTACTTGGTATGTAATATCTTCTATATCTTGATTATTTAATGGATGTTGGTAGAGGAGCTCTTGTCGTTTTTTGATTCCAATTTAACGATTTTCGGTATTCCTCTGATGTACTTAATTGTGATATCATTCTCATGATTAGATACTCTTCGTGCTAGTTCTTCTTTCAAATTTTGTAAATATTTCTGTTGGGCTGGAGTTTGATCAGAAAA